TCAATAAGTGCTCCAAACAAACTCTTTCTAACCGTTCCCCATGATTATGCACGTAAAGTTTTATGGTTCAAAGCAGCTAGACGTGATGTTCCTAAATCAAAATCAATTTTTTTTTGTTCCGAGGATCGTTTTAATGAAAGTACGAACAAAAAGCTGATGATGAGGCAGATACAATATGCCTTCGATCGTACGTTGTGTTCTAGGCAAGCTCTACCTTGTACTGTGCACAAAGAACCCTCGCGTTTTAATTCCACATATCCGATATCACCATATTGTTCTGGTGATGCCCAAAATACAAATTTAAGATTTCATTTTACTTTTAAAGCAGCCATGTGTATAGGTTAGGTTAAGTTGAATAAGTGAAATTCTATATATTATTTACCTAATTTAAGCCAATACAGCCAGATTAGTATATTAAGGAGAGAGTAACTAATAATGAATTTACGGATTGTTACTTACGCTGCTGCTTTGACATCCTTAAATTCGGCTGAATTAAAGCGTTCGTCGTTTTTAAAAATTCGGTAACCATAAAAATATGTACAAATGGTAAACTTTGTTTATTGGCGCTTTAATGAATCCTTCTGAAGCCAGTTTTTAGTTTAACACAAACTATCATTTATTGAAATCCACAAAATAATTAATGAAACACAACCACACATCTAAACACTATGCACAGAACGTAAACAATCCACCATTTATATGACTAAAGACGTCACGACCAATAGGATTGCGTTTTAGAGATTCATGAATAATTTGAATTCTAGCTGAATTTGTTTATTAAATATTTAACAAAATAGCAATAGGTAGATAGTATAAACTTATTTAATCGATTAATGTTCAGTTTGTAGGAATTTTTGATGCAATGAAAACACCCTATTTCCTTTCCATTCCGCCACTGTCCACGTGGAACAAACAGTTTAACTGTCGCCAAACAGGGAAGGGTCGGAGCGACGTACCCGGAAACCTACAGGTGCAGAATCGGGATTGTGAGCCGGCCTATCGAAAAGGACATCTTTATGGCTTGCTGACCGCTCGAGATGGGGGTTTTCCGTTTTGATTGGTCCATTGTGCCTTTATTAGGATGTTTTTGTTGGAGAGTATTATTGCTCTAATGATTTTAATGCGAGAGGGTCCCGTATCGAGATTTGCGGCATTTTTTCCTGCTGCTGTCGTTGTTGTTGGTTGATCGGGCGTGTTTTTTCGGGGTGGCTTTCGGGAATGTTTTTAATAAACTCCTGATATGGTCTTCCGATGCGTTCCATTCAATCAAATCCTCAAGAGTTGTTTAATTGAAAGAGAAAAAGCCTTTGGAGTGGAGTTGCAGCTGCCTAATCTGGACTAACTTTGGGTTTTGTCGTTGCTGGATTAGCCCGAATAATTTTATCTAGCTTGCGGGTGCAAAATGCTTTATTTTTTTTACCACCAATAGCTTCTACAATCAAAT